ATTCAGTCAAAGGTTCTTTAAAGAACCATCTCTTTCTTACCTTTTTATAATCTGAAGAACCTTTTTTCGCCCCAAAGAACCTTTTGTGAAACAGAAAGGTTCTTCAGATGTTAAAGGTTCTTTATGAAACCATTTAGACAAAAAGGTTCTTCTATGGCATCGTGAAGCACCTTTATTTTTAAGAGTGTAGAATACTTAGATTTTCAAAAGCCAACAAGACAAACACATGGAAAGTACAAGAACACCATATCATAATTTCCAATATGTCCAGCCTTTATAAAGTTAGAATCAAATCAGACATTAGTGCAATGTTGAATATAAAGAGGTCAACGACTATGATAAATAAAAGTTATTTATGTATATCATTCTTTATGTAACCTTTATGTGTATTAAAACTTTTATACTGAATTTGATGACTCTTAATACTTCTTGAATTACAAGTTCTTGAATGTGTGAGTGTCCAATCATTTTATAATTAATAATATTTTTTTTTTAAATCGGTGTTTTTTGTTTGCAATATCATCAATTATTACTGTTACAACTAAGGGTATGTTTACACAACAATGATGTTCTAAAAACAGAAGAAACACATACCTATAGACTGAACATATGCGCATGACATCACTGTTTTAACGTTTTTGTATTTACAAAAAAGATGATAATGGTATCGTTTTATGGGGGCTCGTCCGGGATTAAAAAACAAAAAACATCCCAAGACATTAAAAAGTTATACAGTTTGTGCTGGTGGCAAAATTACCTTGGTTTTATAGTAGTTTGTGATGGAAGCGATGTTGCGTGTGATGCTTAGTGTTGCGCTGTCTGTGGTTTACCTTGTAACATTAGTAATCATGGCCTTGTTTAATTTACATGCACTTTGAAACCTGTTTTTAAAAGTTTGAATTTACAGTTTGCCCCCAAAATGCCTTTGTCATGTAAATGAAAGGCCAAAACGCAAAAAAAACATTCTTATTTTTTGTTCAAAACAGTGTCGTGTAAACGCCTCCTCAACTTGCCTTGTTATAAAAACATCAAATGCCTCTATCTATCTATCTATCTATCTATCTATCTATCTATCTATCTTCAGCATACTGAGGTGTGATGTTGTATGTACAGCTTCGATGAAGGAGGTCATGACTGATGACAGACAGGATGTATTCTGATTGGCTGATTTTTTGGTGGGCGCCCTGTGGTGTCCAGTTTCTATGTATATCCCACTATATCTGAATGGTCTCTGTGCTTCTCCATGACCCTGTGGAGCTATTTTTGACAGAGGCTTGTCTGTGCGACGTAGGCAGATTTCAAACGCTGTCCGGCTTTAGTGCTTCACCTGCAGGTAACTGACACTCGCAGCTACTGATCGATACATCCGTACGTACCACAGAGAAACTTCAGGGGCAGCCGCATGAGGAAGTGTTGCTGAATTTCTCATTAATAAAACATATCAATAAAGCACATGATTAGCATTTCTTAACCCTGTCTAAAAATAGTCTTTAAGGCTGTGTTCCAGTATTTGACCAAATAAAAGACAGGAACAGAACATTTCCAGGAATTCCTTCAGTTTGTAACTGTTGTTGTGGCAGCCAACAACAGCACAGCTTAACCCTGTGCTCATTTTTATTTTCAGCAATATTACAAAAGTTTCTGTTTAATTAATTCACTTGTTCTTTTTACTCCATTTTAACATGGGTTCCTAAAGAGACCTGGCGTGTGTTTCCCAAAACCATCGTTAGCTGACTATGGTTGTTAATTCCATTGAACTCTATTGGTAACGATGGAACTTGTGACCGATGCTTTTGGGAAACACACCCCAGAACAGGAGAGCATTCAAACGGAAGTTAGAATCCATCATGGAGGCACTCATGAAATATTAGTAAATTAAATATTATAAATATTACATTTTAATTTGATAGCAAAACATAAAGTGTTGCACATTTTATTGGTGCAAAGATGAGTGTGTATTTTGGGTCCCACTTTATATTAAGTGGCCCTAATACCTGTGTACTTACATAGTAACTAGATGTGTACATAGTATTTAACCACACTTTAAGTACACATTGGTACATAGTATCTACAGCTGTAATGTTTGTGTAACTACACATATGTAACAACCCACTGAATGGTATGTGTAAATACAAATGTGTAACAGGACATTGGTAACAACACTTTTTGGTAATGAAAGTACAAATGTGTAACAGGACTAACAGCACTTTTTGGTAAAGAAAGTGTTACACTTTATATTAAGTAAACAATTCCTATGGATTTACCATGTAATTACTCTGATGTTATACAGCAGCGGCCAGTAAGTTAGGCTTTACATATAAATTGTGGTTGGTGTCCAGAATGTTACACTTTATATTAAGTGGACAGTTCCTGAGGAGTTACCATGTAAGTACACTGGTATTACAGTGGTGCACCAACTCCACCAACTTGAGATCCAACTCCTTTCACTTTACATATCCCTAAACCTACCCATTTCCACCCCCTGGATCCCATTTCCACCCCTGAACCTACCCATTTCCACCCCCTCGATCAAATTGTTCCAATTACTCTTATACATATTGTTGTTACAAATATAGTTATATATGTCCTGTTACACATTTGTACTTACACAAACCATTCGGAGGGTTGTTACATGTGTGTAGTTACAGAAATATTACAGCTCTAGATACTATGTACCAATGTGTACTTACACTGTGGTTACATATACGTACACATCTAGTTACTATGTAAGTACACAGGTATTAGGGCCACTTAATATAAAGTGGGACCGTATTTTGTACAACAATTTCAACTGTTTTTTTATCACTTAATTAGAAGCAAAACAATTACTAAACTGTGTAATCTGTTATAGAGACTACTGAACAGACATATAGAAGTTTATTTTAAATGCAAATTATTTAAAAAATCAAAATAAAGCTCTGTGCACTTGCATTTTTTATAACACTATAAGTGTGTCCTATGGGGTAATGAAAAGTTCCAAAGTGACCAAATGTCCCCACAAGTATAGTAATTTTTTATTTTATGGGGACATTTTTTTTATTTATTATTTTTTTTTTAATCTCTTGATGCAGAAAGTTCTCTGAAGGTTAGAGTTAGGGGGTAGAATATACAGTTTATACAAGCTTATAAAATAATACATAATTCAGTTTTTTTGAAAATATAAAATAGCAGAAAGTTTTCTATGAGGGTAGGCTTAGAGTAAAGAGGATAGAAAATACAGTTTGTACTATATAAAAACAAATTATGTCTATTCCCGTGTGTGTTTGCAAAAGGACACAGGTTCAAATCCCTCCTAGAAAAATTACAACTGTGCTTGATGCTCCATCATTAGCATACATTTTCATAATAATGCATTTTAAGGTGATGTATTTAGCTAACATGCTAACATTTAAATGTCAATACGAACATGTCTTTAGACTAAGTTTTATCATCCTATGAATAGAATATGTACGCTAAACACAGTTGGAGCTGCAGAACTGTGCAGAAGAAGAATAAAAATAAACACGAGGGATTTCATAATCCAATTTTATTACCTGGAATATAATGAGGCAAGGAAGTATAATGTGTGCTGTAATGGTGCAATACTGATCTGTGTGTTGCAGGAGAGGAGGGCTCAGAATCACATGCAGAGACTCCAGTCAGTGAAACAAGTGGAAATGGCACTGCATACCAGACCTGCGCCAACACAGTGCTCAAGGTGCTGGGGGGTTTGCTGGTGGTGCTGTGTGTCTCCTCGTCCTGGGTGGGCACCACACAGGTGGTCCAGCTCACGTTCAAATCCTTTTCCTGTCCCTTTTTCATCACATGGTTCAGCACCAACTGGAACATTCTCTTCTTCCCACTCTACTATTCTGGGCATGTGGCCACCACCAGTGAAAAACGGACGCCCATTCAGAAATTCAGGTAAAGTCAGAATTAATGAATCTGGTGGATTATTATGATGTGATGTGAACAGCAGAACATTTTGCAGGAAGTATAGAAGCGAACGTGTGAAAATTAAACGTTTACTAATTTGTCTTTACCTAACACTTTTATCCAATGCAACATACTGTACACATATTACAGAGAAACTTCCCCCAAAGCAAGAATGGACAGCTCCAGTCCTGGAGGGCAACTGTCATGCAGAGTTCTTTTCCTAAATATCAAGTATCAAATATCCCTAAATATCAAGTAATCCAGTCCCACTTTATATTAGGTGGCCTTAACTTTGTACTTACATCAAAAATAAGTACAATGTACTTATTGTGTTGATATTGTATTGCAAAACACTTTTGCTGCTATTGAGGAGGTACAGGTAAGGTTAGGGACAGGTTTGGTGGTATGGGTAGGTTTAAGGGTGGGTTAAGGTGTAAAGAATGGGTCAACAGCGTAATTATAAATGAAATTGCAGAAATTAATAACAGATGTAATTACATGCAAGTAAAAACATGAATGTAAACAATAAGTGAATTGTATCAAATTATTCATTTAAATAAGTACAGTTAAGGCCATCTAATATAAAGTGGGACCTGTAATCCTGAAGAATTTGGTTAGATTTTTCAGGTTTGATTGGGGAGTTAAACTCTGCTTTAGTGCAAGAGTCAGTAGAAACAGTTCAGTTCAACTCATGAGCAACTCATTCAGAATGGTTTTGCAAACTAGAGCAACCAATTCATTGAAAAAGTCTGCTCAAAAATGATCTATTAGACAAATTGAACGTTGCTATTTTTCATGAATGTAACAAGGAGACTGGTGTGATTTTCAGGGGAAAATTAATACATTTTTTGTTTCCACACACAAATATATTGTGTGTCTATATAAAAGCACCTAGCCATAAGGACCACTTTTCTTATTAATTTGTCTTTTTGGATCCTTTTTTAAAGGAGATTTCAGTATGTAAAAGAGTGACAAGTGGTAATTCAGTACGAGGATGAGAAACAGTTCCAAATCGATCTCATAAAAAAGAATTTTACGAGTTGGCAATTGTGTATGAATTTCATATGAATTAAATGTACAATGTACAATCTTTAGGAAAAAACACTAAGCTTGAAGGTCCCCACTAAACCTAAACTAAACCCCACTAAACTCTAGTTTCATTTTTGAGTGTCTTTCACACTAAAGCTTTTGGCATGGACCTTGATTTTGGTTCATTTGTACTTCCAAATATTTTAACTTGGCGCGTCACGATTGGTTACAAGACGCCTGGGAACCAGCGTTTGCCATCACTGACATCAAACCTGGTTTGAACTTTAACTAACTAATTAACCTTTTAAATCTTAACTACCCCACAGATAACCTCTTGCAGAGTTGCAAATCTGCAACCTTTTGGTTACCAAACTAAACCTTTAATTTCTAGGTTAAAGGGTTAGTTCACCCAAAAATAAAGTCATATACACCTAGGATGACTTGAGGGTGAGTAATTTGTGGGCTAATTTTCATTTTTGGGTGAACTAACCCTTTAAGCCACTGGTAGGCTACAGTGCTGCATTATCAAAGTAAGCAAACAACAAAAACCTTTATTTTTTCTAATTTCACTGTGTAGGGAATGTAGTCGGTTGTTTGGGGAGGACGGAATGTCTCTGAAGGTGTTTCTGAAGAGAACGGCGCCTTTCTCCATCTTGTGGACGCTTACTAACTACCTGTACCTGTTAGCACTGAGAAAACTAACCGCTACAGACGTCTCAGCGCTCTACTGCAGCCACAAGGCCTTTGTCTTCCTCTTGTCGTGGATTGTCCTCAAGGATCGCTTCATGGGTGTGCGGGTAGGTGGAATACGTATAACCCTAATTATTACTCAACTAGTTGCAGTATTTCATGTCCATTTATTTATTAGGGATTCAAGTACCAAAACCACTTTGCCTCAGCAACCATTTGATTATGTTTGAAGTTGAAATCTGGCAAACAGTTTCTTTGGTACAAATGATGTTTGCTTTAAGATTCTTACAGAATCAATACAAATGGATGCCAACAGCCGTTCAAAAAACCTTTTTTTTTTATTGGAAATGTTGTATACAAGTGAAATTCTGTACCAAAATGTATGAGAATTGACCATAGCGGGTACAGTAATGTTTACATTTATATTTATATCTCAGGAACTTTATAGGATAAACTCTAAATTATTGCCTTATAATCCTTGAGTTTGTGTTGAATTCTCTCTTCATTTTTTGTATACTTTTTTTGAAATCTTAGGTCACATTTTAGTTTGGGAACCAATTCTCCCTATTAACTATTTACTATGACTTTTGCCTCAAACTTCTAATTTTCTGCTTAGTAAAAGTTAGTAAGGTAGTTTAGTTGTTAGGTTTAGGTATGGGGTCGGATTAAGGGATCTATTATATGGTCATGCAGAATAAGACATAAATATGTGCTTTATAAGTATAAAAAAATATGCTAGTAATATGAGAAATATGATATAATAAGCAATTAGTTAATAGTGGGAATTGGTGCCTAAATTAAAGTGCTACCAAAACTTACTTTTTGAACTTGTCATTTAGATCATCTGGAGACACTCAGAACAAAAAGTTACAATTGGTTTGTACTTTGTGTATGTACATTCATTAACTCTGTACACATTGTACAATAGAAAAATGTAAGTATACATACATGTCGAACTTCATTCATTTGGGGCAACAAGAAGCTTCTCAAAGCTTTGCTGCTGTGATCAGGGAATTTGAAAAGGCACATTAAAAATTTTGCCAAAATTTTGATTGTTATTAATATTCACACATGTCCTTAGACCCCAAAAATTGCTTGCTGTTGTACTTTATTTAGTAAGTAGGCTTTTAATTATCAGAATAATGTATAATCAGCTAATCCTTATCACAAAATAAACCCTTTGGGATTTTTAAAAGCTTTCTGGGGTCCTGATCACACTGGCAGGGGGTATTTTGTGACAGTGACTGGCTAACATTATATCATCCTTTACATTTACTCACAGGCCTTAAAATGAATTAATCTAGTTACAGCGAATGTGCTGAGTATGAATGAGTTACATAAAAAGCACTAACTGTTGATATATCAAATGATTCATGAAATGGGATCTAAACAGCAGATTGATGGTTATGGAGAAGAAACGAGTGATGCGGCACTCAATTTTCTAACACACAACAGATACAAATGGAGAGTCAATGAGAATTTGTTCTTGTTCAAGTGTAAAAAAAAGCTTTGCTTTGCCAGAAGCTGTTATTATGCTTACATCAGAACTCTTGACTTTCATTGCACTTGATGTCTCAGATCTGGATGCATGACTTTTTTAGTATCTGATTATTACTTCTTGAAAACGTGTTTTTATTTTCAGCTATCCACCTCAAAAATTAAATGATGTAAATGATGCACACTGATATTTGTTGTGGTATAAACCTTAATCCTTATTAGACCTTATTGATTCATAATGTCTTTGTAATCTTTCCTCTTAGATTGTGGCTGCCATTATGGCTATCACAGGCATTGTGATGATGGCTTATGCTGATGGTTTTCATGGGGATTCCTTTATGGGTGTGGCCTTAGCAGTCGGCTCCGCCTCCACTTCTGCTCTTTACAAGGTGAGTGCAGCTGAAAATAACGATTACCAGAAGATCCTTGATGACCATTAAGACTCATTCAGTATTGATATGCTTTTCCTGCAAAACCACTCAGGTGCTGTTTAAGATGTTCCTCGGCAGTGCTAATCTGGGCGAGGCTGCTCATTTCTTCTCCACCATGGGCTTTTTCAATCTCATCTTTATCTCCTGCGTTCCCCTCATCCTGTACTTCACCAGAGTGGAGCATTGGGGTTCCCTCTCCTCTTTGCCCTGGGGTTACCTCTGTGGGGTGGCCGGCCTTTGGCTAGGTAATGTGAAATTATGGAAACCGATTCTTCAGCCCTACTTTAAATGTATGTATTATATTTAAATAATATATAACATCTGCAGTAATCTAATGAAATATCTTTTTTATGTTTCAAACACTGGTAAACTGAATGCGTGGTAAAATGGTCAAATGAAATATTAGCGATATACTGTACACTACTGTTCAAAATTGTATTGGGTCAGTAAGATTTTTTTAAAAAGTTTAATACTATTATTCAGAAAGGATGCACTGAATTGGTTAAAAGTGGCATTCAAGACATTTATAATGTTTCAGTTTTTTTTTATTTAAAATAAATCTGGTTCTTTTGAACTTTCTATTCATCAAAAAATCCTGAAAAACGTGTATCACGGTTTTCAGAAAAATTATTAAGCAGCACAATTGTTTTCAAGAATGATAATAATAATAATAATAAATGTTTCTTGAGCATCTTAGCATATTAGAATGATTTCTGAAGGATCATGTGACACTGAAGACTGGAATAATGGCTTTATATGATCATTTTATATGATCATTACATTTTAAAATACATAAATAAAAAATACAATAGTTATTTTAAACTGTAAGGATACATCACAATATTACTATTCTACTGTATCTTTGATCAAATAAGTGCTACTTTCTTGAGCACAAGAGACTTCTCAAAAACTAAAAAATCTTTTTTGAACAATGGTCTATAATATGTTACTTGGGTCACACTTTATTTTAAGGTCCAATTCTCATTATTAACAAACCATTAACTATGACTTATTGCCTCAATAATCTCTTAATTTGCTGCTTATTAATAGTTAGTAAGGTAGTTGTTAAGTGTAGGTATTGGTTAGGGATGTAGAATATGGTCATGCAGACTATGTGCTTTATAAGTACTAATAATCAGCCAATACATTAATATGCTTATAAACAGCTAGTTAAGAGTGAGAATTGGTCCCTATAACTAAAGTGTTACCGTTACTTGTTTAAAAAACAATAGAAAAAGATGTTTTTTGGCACTGTAATGTTGCGCCATCTACAGTACTAAATGGCAAATGCTAACCAGCTGTGGAAAAAAATTAATAAATAAATAAACCCTTTAGTTTGTACACAAGTACTGGTGTTAAATCATGCTGACGGTTTGTTCAGATGTGAGTTAGTGTTGTAGTGGATCAAATACAACCCTTAAGTACACTTCCAAGAGTGCTTTAAGTGCTTAGTAAGTGAGAGAAATCAGGTTAGAATCATCAGTTTACACCTCGAAGTAGCATTTCTTAGATATGCATCAGTCTATGTAGAGCATAATATTAACAGATCCACTTATATTTACTGTATATTTGAGCTGAAGTGGAGCTATGTATCTCTTGGGTGTTTTAAGGATAATATGATATCCATTAACTTTTGTCACTCGTCCAAATTATGTGAAGTTTTCTGTGTATTTGGCGACTTAGAGAGGACTGAATGACAAAAGATGCTACATGGCCAAACCATAACATAAAGTTCCTGTTTTTGACTCCCTCTCTCTCTCTCTCTCTCTCTCTCTCTCTCTCTCATAGTATTTAACATCCTGGTCAATGTAGGAGTGGTGCTCACGTATCCTATTCTCATATCCATTGGGACGTTACTCAGTGTTCCAGGCAATGCAGGTGTGTGAGTCCACACTGTACGTCATTAGTACTTGAAAATTACTATTACTATTTGAAATATATATATATTTCAAATAGTAATAGTTGTCCGAACATAGATACACCTGATTTACCGTACCCAAAGGCACTTTTCAGAGCCAACATCTATCTATCTATCTATCTATCTATCTATCTATCTATCTATCTATCTCTGTCTAACAGTTTAATATCTATCTATCTATCTATCTATCTATCTATCTAGTTCTCATTAGCATAATTTGGTCTTTTGAGGGTTTTTTTGTTGTCATTTTCATCATAATAATTATTTTTATTTTATTTTATTGTATTATATATATATATATATATATATTTGTATTTATTATATTATTTTGTATATAATTATTGATGATTCTCATTAAATTCGTATTAGTATAATGCAGTATTTTTAACATATTGCAAGAAAATATTTTCTGTAATATATTTTATAAAAATTATTTTTAATGTTTACTATTTAAACAATTTAATTTTTTTCCCTGCATTGTGGTAATGAGGATTTGTGTGCAAAATGTCTTAACTGACATTAAAATAATGTCACAAGGCAACAAAATAGTAATAAAAATAGGTATAATTCTCTTTACGCAAAACCAATTTATTATCAGTTTTCCTTAAGATTTATGGGTGAAATAAGTCCCTGACATGTTTATGACAGGCTTTGTGAGAATCGTCCTAAAAGTACAACAGAGCAGATCTCTCAGCCTTCAAATAAATAAATAATTAAATAAATAAAATGTAAAAAAAAAAAAACTCTGCCTAAGTGAGTTTCTTCACACAAAACAAACAGCCGCACCATGACAAAGGGGTGGGGAGGTTGCCAAGGTGACAGTAAATGCCTTGAGAGGGTCCTTGTCTTTCAAGGTCAGTTTGTTAAATTACGTGTGGCTTTTCTTCAGAAAAGCTCCTATGATTCGCTTGCAACAAACAGTATGATTCATTTGTGATTTATGCTATATTCCTAATGTTTGCCTGTGTACTGGATTTTAAAGGAGTGTGAATGCAAATTTATAGGTAATTGTTATTATTATAAACCATTTTACATTTCCATAGCCAGTAATGAGGAACCAAAGCTATTTACTTGATTCAATTTTTGTCTTTATGAGCACCAATGTTAATACTTAAAATTCATATTTATTTTGAAGTCAACAAACAGCTACAGGATTGCAATTACTATTCATCTAAAGAGTTCTCCCTCTTAAATAACAGTAACTAATGCTGAACATTTTTTTATTAATGACATTTATTTGACTGGAGTTAACTGGTTGCTTTGCCAGAGTCAGTAATTCTCTCCCACTGAGATTTCTATAAGTCTGGGCACACAGTCATATTTAAATGATAGAAACTCACTCTTGTATATGGTTAAACAATTAATAAGAGTTTCTAACAAAACACTGTACTGTCAAAAGAAGAAAACCTGCAACTGTTAATTACATAAGTAATACGGGTTTCACCCAAGCCTGGTTAATCTCTCATTTATGCCTAATTAATTTTATAGTTCTGTTAGTTTTCTAAGCTATCAGCCTGAAAGATGATAAAAATGGGCATAAAAATCTGAAATTTACTGTCTCAAGGGACCTCAAGCGAGCACCACCTTGCAATTGAATCCCTAGTAACCACCCAGAACACCCTAGAAACCACATAGCAACATACTACAAACCACTCAGAACACCTTAATAACGTTTTAGACTACCATGAAAACAGGTGTCAATGACATGAAACTCACCTGTCTTAGTTATTTTATTCAATGATACATTCATGCAATGAGTGGAATACCCCTTTTCTATGATGAGCATGTTTTTTAATTTCTGAATTAAACTTTAGATCTTTCAAAAATTATTCTGATATCACAACAACAACAACAAAGCCTAATTAAATGTATTAAATTATTGAAATGGTATTTAGTATCATTGAGATACCATTATACATTTTCTTAATATTTTGAATTCATGTTTATTTTTTAATTTTCTTTTTTTTTCTTTTTTTTTTATTATAGGAATTTTGTTGTGTGTTTTCGTCCTTTTTCATTATTTTTTGTTAATATTATTTCAGGTCTAGTTTTAGTTATTTTAGTACATCACGTTAAACTAAATCAACTAGCTTAAGTGTGTGTGTGTGTGTGTGTGTGTATATACAGAGCTAGGTTGTAAAGGATTACGTGTAATCTGGATTGCATAATTAGATTCCAAAAATTAAGCACTTGTAATTACATTATATTACATTAAAGCAAAAAGCCCCAAGAAGCCATGGTTTACAGTGAATTTATAACAGCTAAGGGGCGTTGTTAGGCACGACGCGAAGCTGTTATAAATTCACTGTAAACCACAGCTTCACGGGGCTAATTGCTTTTATAAAATGGATATTCCATATACGTAGTAAGGTTTCACAAAATAAAACAGAGCAAATAAAGTGTAATGATATTAATAAAAAACATTATTCTTCCGCCAAACAATGTAGTTCCTCAGAAACAGTTGTGGTTCCAACAAAGTGGTTGCCAAGCAACACACAAATGTAAACAAAGGTGTATGTTTGTAGAGTAATTTACAACAGCTTCGAACTTGGCTCAACCAATCAGAATCAAGGACCGGAACTAACCGTTTTATTATTATGTATATAAAATGTTTAGTTTATAAAATAGTATATCATTTAGTTTACATTCATTTTATTTCAAGCAACATTTTGTTTTAGTTTTAGTTAACTATAATACTCCTGACAGGAAACCTTATTGATAGTTTGGCATAATTTTATTAGTATTACTTAAAAAAAAAAAGAAAATGGTTTTACTGCTTATTCGTTGATGCACTATGGAAATTCCAGAACACAATGATATTTATGAAGTAATACAATTAAAATAATAATAATTTTTTTTAAGTTTTCAGAGTTTAAGTTAACTGACAAATACTTTTTACTTGATATTTCTGAAAAATGATATTAAAGTTTTTCAAAACCAACTGAAACTGACATGAATACAAGTAGTACATTTAAGAACGTTGCATATGTGTTTTAAACTAGAAAAAGATCAGTTTCTTTCTCCAGCTATCGATGTGCTGAAGCATGAGGTCATCTTCAGCGTGGTGCGTCTGGCTGCCACCTGCATCATCTGCCTGGGCTTCCTGCTGCTGCTGCTCCCTGAGGAGTGGGATACGGTCACCCTGCGCTTCCTCACCACCCTGGCCGACAAGAAGACGGAGGAGCACGGCGAGGAGCTCACAGAATCCAGCGTCCACACACGCAGCCGCAGTAGAGCCAACGGAGCCGTATCCATCCCCATGGCATGACCTTTGACCTGTGAATGAACAGTCAGCGATCAACACTGATCCTCCCTGTGGCAGCCTTTGTATGTGGCAGTTTGATTGCATTTGTATTTTAGAAAGAAAAAAGAGAATAAGCAAAGTGAAGAGGATGTTTTTTTTCTTTAATAATAATCACAACATCGACCAATCAGAACACAGAAAGATAAGAACATGCCGTCCTGCTCTTTAATGGAGTTTTCTGAGAGGAGCGTCCCATTAAATATATATTTACTGACAGTATGTTTTTATTTTACAGAAGGGATCTAGCATTCTCTTCCCTGAGAAGATACGCATCCATTCCATAGAAATGGACTTTCAGACTTTCGTCTCCCGCTGCACGACAAACCCTGCACCCCTGAGCCCCTCCGCTAGCCCCTTCCCATGGAATGTATTCTGTGAATATAGACTCTGTCAGGGCCAGTTCGGCTCACTGTGTACACATGAATGCATTCAGAGATTGGATATATATGTATATGATTATTTGCATTGTACGTAGTAGTATAATACATGTAGGAGGAATATATTATGCTTTAATGAATAAGCCTTTCTTTTCTTTTTATAATAAAAGACAAAAATAAAGATCTGCTTTGAAAACCGCTTGTTATTTAAACGTTCAACACCTGAAGTGTAGTGCAACAATCATGTTCCGGAAGAAACAAAATATATATATATATATATATTTTTTTTTCATTATTCAAGAGAGACCTAACATGAGCTTTGAGATTCTTAAAGGTGCCATAGAATGCATTGATACAATATTTTAAATTGTTCTCTGATATCTACATAGAAGGTATGTGGCTTAGGTAATGGCAAAAAATCTCCAGAAACGGTTTTACATGTCCATTTACAACCCTAGGATAGAATGAAATGGCCTGTTTTTACCTTATTTGGAAGGGTCATGAATAATAATGTTGAGCTCTGCTCTGATTGGCTGTTTCACAGTGCGGCTCATTTCAGTAGCTCACACAGCATGAAGGAAACGCAGGGAAAATATATATTTCAATACTCTTTCTCGCAGTTATATCGTTGGGTAATTATATTGTATATAAAATGCAGGCATCAGGGAGCCCCTATTAATATATTCGAAACGTCACAGTCGGTGTTATGTTCTGATTCGCCTAGTTTTCAGTGGTCTTTTGCATGCACGAGATTTACATAAGGAGGAAACAATGGTGTTTGAGGCTCACGGTATGTCATTTCCATGTACAGAACTGTTATTATTCAGCTATGCCAAGGTAAATACAGTTTTCCATTCTATGGCACCTTTAAGTGATCTTATATATTTTTGAAAAAGCCGCTGGTGTTTAATAGTCAGATTCTTGGTGAAGAGCCACAATCCTTTAGATATTTACCAAGAATGGAGAAAGAAATGGGAACACATGCCATGATACTCTATACTCTTCTACATGGATGTATATGTCTGAATATTTTACAATAAATTTAAAATACCATTAAAAAGTGAAAGAACTTTTGGAAAAAAAAAAAAAAAAAAACTCCGCAAGGATGGATTAAAATTATTCAAAGCTACAGTAAAGACTTTCACACTGTTCCAAAAATAGGCTACTGAAAATTCAACTTTGCATCACAAAAATAAAATACATTTTAAAAATATATAAGATAGAAAACTATGGAAGCTGTTTCTGCCACTGAATTAAAAAATAATAGTAATAATAATTGACTTTTTATCTCACAATTCAGACTTTTAAAAAAACGTGAGGTTACTGAAAGTTTATATTGCGCAATTTTGAGGAAAAAAGTCAGAATTGTGAGATATAAACTCGCATTTCTGATTTTTTTTTTCTTGAATTGTGAGAACTCGCAATTGCAAGTTGAAGTGATGATTCTGAGGAAACAGAGACTATTTTCTTACAATTGCTAGTTTATATCTCACAGTTCTGACATTATTTCTCAGAATTGCATATATCTTGCAATTCTGACTTTATAACACACAATTGCGGGTTTATACTCGCAATTCTGAGAAAATAAATCAGAATTGACCCTTTGCAGGGAGCGTGGTTGACAGGCAATCTGATCAATCATTACGCAGAATCCACTATTTTTGTTTGACAAACAAACCAGACAGGAGAGTAGATTAACATTGGTGGACTTGAACTTGAAAAATGGTGTGTATTGACATCCTTTCATGTTGAAACAAGATACCTTCTGACAGAGCAGCTTACTTTTGATATGAAACAAAGACTCAGCTTTCAAATTGTAATTTTTTTTATTTTTATTCATACAATAAATACAGTTTTGTGGCTCTTTAATGTGTTGTGACAGATCACATGTCAACCATTCATCTCTTCCTCTTTACTAGTGATAGCATAAAATAAACATGAATGAACATCAGAAGGTATCGTTTCAACCACAGAAAGACGCCAGTACACACAAGTTCAATTCCACTGACATTAATTTACTCTCCCGTCTAGTTTGTTTGTCGAACAAAAATGGCAGATTCTGCATTATGATTGGTCAGATCACCTGTCAATCAAACTCTCTGCGAAGGGTCAATTGTGAAAAAAAACTTGCAATTCTGAGAAGCAAAGTCAGACTTATCTCACAAAAGAGACTTCTTTAAAAAAAACACAATGAGAAAAAATTTCAGAATTGTAAGATAAGAAGTTGCAATGACCTTGTTTTATTTTTTTATTCAGTGGTGGAAATGGGCTTCCATAGTATGGAAAACAGTTTTAATGTATTTTAATAAATACAACTTTGGTCAGCATACTAGACTTTCAAAAAAGTTCAGAACTGACCCTATATACTGTATATATTTTTTACACTTAAAAACAATGACTATATACGTCAGTAGTTTTATTTTTAGTGCTGTCAAACGATTAATCGCGATTAATCGCATCCAAAATCAAAGTTTTTGTTTGCATAATGAGTGTGTACTGTGTATATTTATTATGTTTATATAAATACAAAAACATGCATGTTTATATATTAAATATATTTATATGTAATATAATAATATAAATATATAAATGTATATACATGTAAATATTTTCAAAATATATACTGTATGTTTGTGTATTTATATATACATAAATAAACACAGTACACATACATATATTATGTAAACAAAAACGTTTATTTTGGATGTGATTAATCATTTGACAGCACTATTTATTTTAAATCATAAATCTAGTTTTCTAATCTGAGTGCTATAAATTGGAGCATCAGTTTATCATATGAGTGGTATCAGCAGTTTTTTTCATCACATTTTCTATCACAAAAAAATTGAAAAAGACAGGAAAGTGGAGGAGGAATGATATCTGTAAATGACACCGAACGGATTTGAACCTGCACCCCGTGAGCATAAATGCTCTACGGGTTTTGTGAGAATGTGCACTGCCCACTGTGCCACAGCTCTGACCATGATACACACCATAAAAAATGAAACACAAACACGCTGAATGACTAAGACAACCCCTTCATTCCCTCATTTCTCCCTGCAATAAACACACTAGGACACCTTCACAGTCCCGTGACAGCCGCTCTGTGTGAATGCATATAACGACCTTGCTTTCTTGGAAATATAATGAGATATTAGCTGAGTGGACAGGCTGAACATCTTCAGACCTCTGGAGAAGTCCGTTAAACCAAATGAAGCATAGAAAAGGAAATGAGGGGTAACAGAAGGGGAGGTATAAAGAGCACAGAGGAAGTCTTTAAATCCACATTATGGGGTCCAGTTCCTTCACCCTGGGAGGTGGCGATAACAGTCCATATGCTGACACAGCAATTTTTTTATGACCTATTCAAACGTTTGGGGTCAGTAAGATTTGTTTTAATGTTTTCACAAAGGCAGTGTTTATGGACAAAAATATTGTAAAAACTATAATCTGGTAAAATATTACTATAAATTTAAATAATTATTGTGCAGTTTAATACATATACATATATATATATATATATATATATATATATGTATATGTATTAAACTGCACAATAATTATTTAAATTTATAGTAATATTTTACCAGATTATAGTTTTTACAATATTTTTGTTTACATATATAATTATTATTGTGGTCACAAAGCTTAATTTTCAGAATTTCTAATATGAAATAATTCTAATATTTGGTGCTCAAGAAACATTTCTTATTATTATCAATGATAAAAAATAGCTGTGCTGATATAATTAATTTGTGAAAAAACGTGATATGCTTTTCTTTATTCTTTGATGAATATATAGATTATTTGATTATATTTACATGCACACACAAACACACACATATACTGTATGCATGTTAAATGGTATTACCTCTGAATGGGTAATGTTTCAGTAATTAATAATATTCATAATACAAAAATATCTTGAAAAAATACACTGGACAAAAGTATATATTGGTTTGGTCATATATGTTTGTCAACTTTGTATACACTCACATATATCAGCTAGATCAAGATGAGAAAACTATATTATTGATCATTTGATTACACAATTGACTTTTTTGGTATATATATATATATATATACTGATAAGGGTATACCATAAAACTAAATGTATTAATCTAACATGGGTATACAAAGCTTTCTAAGAAAACATTTTTCTCTTCATCATTTTAGATATCCCTGTTCAGGATCAATCTGAGGTTGTAGCAAGCAGTTTTTGTTTATTTAAAAGAAAAAATACTATGAATGAGTATAATTACATTGCTGTGTAATAATTGCAACCAAGCTAGGTTTGTTTTCTCTAATATCAAGTTATACCCGTTGTAATCAGACAAACAGAAAACTGTCACTAATTCTGTCAATCATCAAGCTTGGCTCCCTGAGCAGTCGTATGCCTGAGCAATCAGTGGAGAGACGGGCCTCTCACCGCCGTCCAAGCATTAACACACAGTTATAAAGTAACCTGTGGGGACAGTCACCATGGAAACTTGCCTCATTACACCAAAACCAAGAAATATAAAGCAAGAGAGGGGGGCACGCACCTGCCATTTCACAACACAACTTTGCAGGAGTTTCATTTTGAACAGTTAAGCAGAACTAAGAGGGAATACTCTTTGTTTGGGTTAAGTCAAAACGTAACTGAACAATTTAACCGGATCGGATGCAAGTGGACATTTTTGAAGAGTACAAGAGTACCCTCATCTTCAGTATTACATATTTAACCATATGTATGGACCCCTGGGTACAACATTCAGATGGAGTGAGGAGTTAGGCCTGGATTATACCCTGGAAAGAAGGACAAGAAATGGAGTTTAATGCAGTTCCTTGAGGAACCTATTTTGATATTTAACTTACCTTGGCTGGGATAATAAATGCACCATTGGGAACAGCAACTCCAGGCCAAAGATTTGCCAAGTTGCACCATCGCATAGTCAACCAATGGAGGATGAGCCTTCACTGTTTCCAAACTCACCATGGATGATTACTGCTGTTAAAGGTACAGAGATGCAAGAGAAAGGGATTGTGTGACAGAGGAAGACCAGCCATCTGCCTCCTTTGACAGGAAGACACAAAATACCTAATTCTGTTCATTTAGAACCAGGTGAGTGCT